TATATATTTACCACGTGAGACTAAGCTTCTGTTTGGTTTAGTTAAAAAATGAATAAAAATTTAACTCAAAGTTAACAATTAGTTGAATCACACATTTCATGATATCTGCAATTTTTATCAAATTTTCAATCATGCATTTCATCAATTTTTATCAAAATATATTAAAATTTTGAATTTAACATGAACTTAGCTTGTAGTTGACAGGAGTTCACGATGTCATTTGAAAATATAATATAAATAAACAAGTTCGTCCCTTCTCTAACACGTGAAACTTTTATATGAGATGAATCCGTATAGTGTTAGAGCAAATAATAGTCCTTCTATACATGAGTGGATGTGTTTCGAAAACCAATTTAAAATCGATAAACATGCCATTTCTCTAAAATTTAAGTTTTTATAAGAGTTGTTCAACAAAATTCACATAATAGTAGAAAGTACTTTTTGAACATATAAGTTACTTATTATGTAGTCATGAATTAGCTATATATGAGACTTTAGTTAAAATAGAGTGATTAAAGTAGTAAATTATCCGAAGTTGAGTGGCAGTTCTTGCTCCCGACCTTTTTGGTGTTCTAGGGTTCTAATATATGTAGATAGAAATTGATAGTACCCCTTCTTTCACCTCCGAAGAATGAAGGGGTACGGTCACCCTGAAATACTTAAGAGTCGTGAACTTTTTTTTTTATTTTAAGAAAGAGTTACTTATTCAATTATTCTCAAACATATTACTTTGATTTTGATATGTATTTTATTTTATTGTTTTTATGTAGTGTGCTCATTCAGTCATTACGGATTTAAATAAATTATCTCATAGTTCAGATTAAAGCAACATAGGTGATTGATTTGTCCACGTGGGGAACCAAAAAAAAGAATTAAAAAAATAGAAAAACATTATGAAGCCAACCTTTGAATTAAAATGTGTCTGTTTTATCAAACATCGGGTCAGATTTCAAGGGTCAAACTTAATCTACTTGAAAAATTGTAAATTCACCTGTATCATGTTTTCTTGTTGCAATACCTGTTTCGAATTTTAAATTATTATTTTTAACGAATCGAGTTAACGATTTGATTAATAATAATTAATCGATTATTCAAACGATGTCAATGTTGGGAAATGAAATGAATCGGTGTAATATATATAACAAAATATGAAGTATATAATCGCAAACAAGAAATAAGATAAAAGTCAAAGAATTAATTGACAGATGAATTAAATATTTTATTCAATTGACTAATATGGAGAAAACAAATACGATAATTGTGCTTATACAATTATTCTATATTTCAATAATACAAAATTTGTGAAAAAAGTCTAGTATTTATAAGCGTGGATTCAAAACCATAGAAATACCACAGAAATGAAAATAAAATAAAAAATCACGTAAAATAAAAGAAACAATATTTCCTCAAAAAAATTCAATCTAATTTGAGTCAAAAAAATCCAACAGTCAGGTGGGAACATATTTGTCTCATTAATTTCTCAATAATATACCCCCACACTCTTCCACCTGAGTATGATTCTAGATGCTTGATTTAATTCTCATTGAAACCTGATCATACCCTCACAGTTTGAAATTAAGGCCCTGTTTGATCCACCCAATTTTTTCATGGAAAATGGAAAAGAAATTCCAACTTCCACTTTAGGCATGTTTGATATACTTTTTTTTCTTGACAATTCATTTTCTTGGTTTTGACTCACACGCATCCAATTTCTTGTTTTTTATGAAAATGAATTCCCACCAATTTGGTGGGATTTTTTTTTTCCCCTTTAATGGACAACCATGGAAAACAAAGTCAAACGAACATCAAAAGATCCAAAATTTCAACATTTTTCAGGTGAAAAATTGTATAAATCAAACAATTAATTGACAATTCCCAAAAAAACAATTCTAGATAATTCAATTCCCTATAATTCATTTTCTTTCCACCCAAATTAACAGAACTCCAACCTCCAAGAGATCAATTTAAAAATAAAATTGAAAATTAGTATGAAAATGAAATTCTTGTATTTCATAATTATTTTACTACATGACTTTATTAGAATGTTGAGTTCGGTTAATCCATGACAACAGTAATGTCCTCTTTAAATAACTCATGCGAAAAAAATTTTAAAAAGTTACCGAGATAATGAAATATAATGTCAATCTAAAGTCTAAGCAGAAAAAAAAAAAAAAGAATTGTCCATAGCAACTAGTTAAAATGGTTCACCACCACTTGTGATTTGCATTTGCAAAGACACCCGTATTTCCCAGCAATAATAGAGCAACCACTGTGAGGCATGCCAAAATCAGCCACATCCAAGGCTGCCACCTTTTCTTGTTTCGATTGCGAACAGCTGCTGGAGGGATATTATATTTCGACTTACTTTGTTTTGAAAGTCTTTTAGTACTTGCTGCTGCTGCAGAATTCGTCTCCTTTATCCCATCGGTCTCCTCCACAATTTCTATTTGACTTTTAGTGCTTTGCACGGCCTCACTTACATTCGTGTTCTCATGTACTTCTCTTGGAGTCTTTTGTTCCTTCTTTTTCAACCTCTTCTCCCTCTCCTGCACAAACACGTTCATCCATCAGTAGTAGTCAACAGCATCAATGAACCAGACATTGTAGAAGAAGAAAACTCACCTTTTCTTTCTTTTCAGCTTCCTTCTGTGCTCGTTGTTCAGCTCGCTTTCGTGCTTTTTCTGCATTCCTCTTCTTCCTCTCAAGTGCCGACTTAGCCTTTTCTATTTCCTCCAGCTTAAGTCGCTCTTTCAACTTGGCCTTAGCCTCCTCTCTCGATTCCTCCTCCACATTCCTTTTCAGCTCCACCTCTTCCTTTGATTTCATTGGTTTTTTGTCTATCTCATTGATCACATCCTCGCCAGAAACAGTTGCTAAGGCATTCACCAATACAGGTTTAGAAAGTTCCTTATTTGTCATCGCCCTATTCTTAGGTTCTAAAAATTCCAGAGGAGAACTTTGTATGGAACCAGCCTTCGCTGGCATTAAACCCAGCTTACCAACTCTTTCATCCACGTAACTGGGACGATTAGGTGGTGCCTTGTCAAGGCATAGCGAACGACCATCCAGAGTTCCAAATCTCGTGAGAGCACTCCTTTCATTTTGCTTCACATATTCCTTTCTGAACTCATCGTCCGTGTTCCAGAGTTTCATTATTGTTTCCACCTAAACAATCCGCACAAATACAAGAAGTTATAGGCTCCATTTTCATGTCAAAGACAGACAATAGAAGCAAAAAGTTAACCTGATTTACGCAAAGATGGTGAAGCCCCTCTCTATCTTTGTTAAATGCACAATCCCTGGCTGCAGCTGCATCACCCATGTACTTGCGAAAATATTCGTTCTGCAATTTAAAAATTAATTTAAGCCCGCACAACCAAATAATTGTTCCTTTGGAAAAGAAAAGTTGTGACACTTTATGGCCAAGGAAATACAAGATACATGTCAACTAAAGGAACATAAACTTAATCTACACATATAGTAAAAAGACAGAAGAAAAAGAAAAAATAAAAAATTAATCTTCTTGAAATGACAGTCAATACTCGTTTCACATAAATGACTTTACTTCCATCCAAATCCATGTTAAATTAACCTCAAGGTAATAAGAGCATATACAGAATAGAGGGAGGGCTCAAAATCTAACAACAAATTACTAACTCGAGAAATTCTTTAAAACAAAATCTTAATACAAGGAATAACTAAGCAATAAATGCTAATTTTACCATCAAAAGTGCCTGTTTTGAGAACAAATCAACAACAATAATAGAACTAGATGTCTATTTAGTATTTATCATATGTGTTCCTTTAATATGTTAACAGAGGACATCTTTTTCCAGATAATTACACCTTTCCACAGCTAATTGCACGTCGGTTTCTCATATCCCCTCAATCTGGGAGTGTGAAGAAATTATTAACAACAATGAACAAGCAAAGGGATATGAGTTATAAAGGGTTAATAACAAAGGGGGTGTTTCTTTACATATTTAGAAAGGAAGGCATCATCTGACTTCTGAATTCAATTAAATCTTATGCTTATATACACGATTTTTAGGCATGATTTCAGCAAAAATGGTAACATTATAGTCAGATGGATTGCTATTAGTGAGAAAAATGGCCCAAACTTAATCATTAAACATGATGAAAGTAAACACATAATGTGAAAAAGGCAACTGACCTTCTCAAAAAGTTCTTTTCTCAGACTCTGCAATTGAGCATATGCTGTTTGGCGAATATCATCTGCAGCTCTGAACTGAACGCGTAGTTCTTCAGCTTTCCTATTTTCATCTTCACGTTCCCTACCTGCAGCAGTAGCAGCTTCTTCAATTTTTGAGATCCTATCTTTGAGGCCATCGAGCTCCTTCTTTAAGATCTGCATATGATGACACCGTATTATTAACTTAAAAGAGTAACTGAAAGACGGCTATAAACAAATCTGGCGTTTATGATGTATAATTTTTCCTGCTACACAAGA